AAGTCTGCCTCCACCCACCCCCCGCCATTAAAACATTTCCTCTTGGGAGTAGAGAGGGGCTTATGAGGCCCTATGCCTTCCTGAGGACAGTCAGTTACTAGTTGGTGAAGGGAGAGACATTTTGGTCAGTACTATTGCTCCAAAAGTCATCCATGCATCTATCAATAACACCTCACCCATAAACTTTAAGCAACCCTAACAAATCTTTGGCAAATAAATAAATAAATAAATAGGAAAACTCAGTGGGAAGGGGGTAAACAGGGATGGAAGAAGAGGAGACCAGTGCGAATATGATAAAATAATATATATATATATATATATATATATATATATATATATATATATATATGCATTAAGGTATCATTATGCATAACTAATGAACTGTAAATTAAAAACAAACAAACAAACAAAAAAAATCAGCTGGAGAGATAGCTCAGTGGTTAAGAGGACCATCTGCTCTTCCAGAGGTCCTGAGTTCAATTCCCAGCAACCACATGGAGGCTTATAACCGTCTATAATGGGATGCCCTCTTCTGGTGTGTCTGGAGATAGTGACAGTGGACTCACATACATAAAAATAAATAACATCTTTAAAAAAAAAATAAGATGTAGTTTTTGTAGTCTACCAAAGTTTCACTTTACTGAGATAATAGTTTGTGAATAAATTATGAGTTGCCTTTATAAGGAAGAGGAAATGTATATTAGTAACTGAAAACCAAAGCAGCAGCAGCAACATATAAAATAATCAAATACATTTAGCAGGATATAAATTAATATAAAATCAGTCTGTCTTTCTATACTAACATCTTGAAAAGAGAACTGAACATAAATTATTGTAGGTGCGCTCTGAGGTTTGGCTGACATAAGTGTCAGTGACTTTGATCCGGCAAGAAAGAACAACAAGGGTCCTACCTTTCTGCCCAGTCATAGCCCATGATCTTCAGCATTTGGAACACTTGCTGAAAATGCCTTTTTTGCCCTTTGTCTGCCTTAGAAAAAAAATTTTTAAATTTAAACAAAACAAAGACAAATTAATAAATAAAAATAGGCTGGTCCTAAATAAAGTTAACATCATTATTAGACTAAAGTCATTGTCAGTATGCTTTAAATAAACACAGTAGGTGCTGGAGAAACGGCTTCATGCTTAAGGGCACTTGTTAGCTGCTCCTCTAGAGGACCCAAGTTTGGTTCCCAACATCCACACTGGCAGCTCACAACCCCAGCTAGTGAGGATCTGATGCCCTTTTCTACCCTGGGGGTACACACATGCACCATGCACATCCATACACACATGCACACATGTGCACACACACACAAACACAAACTCTCATTCATTCTCTCTCTCATAGGCAGAAACACTAAAGTAAATCTTTAAAATAAGCACACTATAAAAATATCAAGGTTGAATGGGAAAATAAGGGCTGCAACACCTTAAGACAGGAGGACACATGGACTCTGACTTCTAGAGTGTTCTATTTCATTTCCTTCTCCCTCAGGTGTTATATGATTTCTATTTCCAGAAGACCAAAGCTAAGCTGGAACAAGATGGTGGTAATTTCTCAGAGGGAGGCAGCACATGCAAAGGAAGAAGATACTAGAATCCCAGTTAGCAATAAGAGGAACCAACTCTGGATACAATGGCTTGGTTAGAGCTCAAGGGCAGTCAATATGCTAGGGAAACAAAAATCTCAGACGGTTACATACTGTATGATTCCATTTACACATCACCCTCAAAGTGACAATTTTTATAATGAAGATCAAAGTGAGGGTTGGAGGGGACGGTGATTAAGTGTTGGATCGTCTGATGTGGTGGTGGTGGTGACACAGATCTGTACATGTGATACAGTTCCATAAAACCAGCCTATAGAGGAATGCATGCAAACCTCATGAGATTTGCATGTTTCTACAAATGCCCATCTGACTTTAACATGGCACTTCACGTAAGTGTAGAAGGGTGCTGGTGAAGGGTACACAGAACCACTGCTAGTCTATTCTTTAGGTATTACACTGCTATTTCTTGTCTTTAAGGTATTACAAGATTTTTAATGTTATTTTAAACATAATTCTAACAGTACCCTTTATTTTATGAACACTAGTAAAGCTTACATATTAAATAACACTATAATACAATGAGTTGATACAGTTTTGACATTTTATTTATTGATGTGTACGAGTGTTTTGCCTGCTTATATGTCTGAATACCACATGTGTGCAGTGCCTGACCTAACATTTTGTTGAGCGGTTTCTCTATTCCCTTGATGTCATTTTAAACAGAAGAGGAAAATTTCCAGGTTACTAACTCTTCCCAACAAAACAAATTAAAATAATAACTTTTCTAAGTGCATCAATAGGACAAGCAAAACTGTCTTGCAATAACCAATATATAGTTATTTCATATAATAATATTCTTGATTTTGGTGAATTTTTTTACTATGAAGCAATGTGAATTTGATTTTTTTGAGTCTTTTTAAGAATAAGTTTAAGCCAGGCAGTGGTGGCACACACTTTTAATCCCAGCACTTGGGAGGCAGAGGCAGGTGGATTTCTGAGTTCGAGGCCAGCCTGATCTACAGAGTGAGTTCCAGGACAGCCAGGGCTACACAGAGAAACACTGTCTCGAAAAACCAAAAAAAAAAAAAAAGAATAAGTTTAAAAAGAATTCACTGTCTTAATCAACTTAGTTTTTAATTATTTTATGTAGCTTGATAAAATTGTTTTTTGTAATTTTTTCAACATATTTTCCTTTTTTCTGATTTGTGTGTGAGCACACATTCGAGCGGGCATTATGCCAGGACTCACGTGTAGAAGTCAGAGGAGAAGTGTGTAGTTCATTCTCTCTCTGTCATTACCTGGTTTTTAGAAATTGAACTGACATCATCAGGTGTGCAAGGCAAGCAAGCACCTTACCCACTGTGCCATCACCCCAACTCTGGTTTCCTATTTCTATCTCTCTCTAGTTTCATGAGGTAGGTTTTATATTTTCATTACTTACGACATAAATCATTGTGTCAAAATTGTACTTGTCCATGCGATGTATAGCAGCTGCAAGGTCCCTGGGGAAAAAGGGAGGGGTTATAATTACTTTTACTTACTTGACAACAATGAGTTAGAATCTGTATAATTCTGTACCCTGGAGCACATAAATTATCCTTGTAGAGTCCCAGTATACTTTGGTAAGAAATAATAACAAAATTAGGCTTGAAAAATAAATCTAATGCCTTGAGAGATGCAATTTAAAAATCAACTAAAAATAAATAAAGTCTGTAGAACAAGTAATCATTAACTCATATCTTACAGGTGTTTTATAATTAATGAAGCCTCTCCTGAAAAGAAACATTTAATTGTTACTTTTTAACAATAAACTTTCTCAAATAACACAGTAATAATGTAGATGACAAAAAAGCCAAAGAAGTCCCTGCTTTCTAGTTTGTATTATTAAAAACTTTCAAAATCTTGGATCACTCAGTGGTTAAGACTGCACATACTATTCTTGTAGGGGATCCAAGTTCAGTTCTCAGCACAAGAAAGGCAGCTCACAACTGATGTAATTACAGCTCCTGAGGAATCCACAAACTCTTCCAGAACCAGGACTCATATATACACATACCCACGTACAGATATATACATAACTAAAAAGTTAAAAACCAATGTTTAGAGAAAAATTCTATTTTTTTTCCTTTTTTTAAAGATTTATTTATTTTATTTATGAGTACACTGTCGCTGTCTTTGGACACACCAGAATAGGGCATCCAATCTCATTACGGATGGTTGTGAGCCACCATGTGGTTGCTGGGATTTGAACTCAGGACCTCTGGAAGAGCAGTCAGTGCTCTTAACCGCTAAGCCATCTCTCCAGCCCCGAAAAATTCTATTTAATATTCTTACCTTGAATTACATAAAATATTTAGTTTGTACATATTTAAAATAATGAAAAATCAAAATTATCAACATCAAAGATTATTCAAGTATTGAATATGAAAATACTGACAAGATAGAAACTTTTCTTATATCCTTTGAAGTATTATAAATGATCAAAATATCATTTGTATCTATCTCATGATCCAGGCACTGCATGAAGTATGTATTGACATCTAAGCAAAAAAAATCTGTCCATCCATCCATCCATCCATCCATCCATCCATCCATCCATCCATGCAATGTATTTATTTGGCAGGCTCTCACTAAGAAGCACTTGCTGATCTGGAGTTGTGTGTAGGCCAGACAGTCCTTGAACTCAAGAAGTGACTTCAAACTTCTGACTCCAAAGTGCTGAAATTAAAGGCATTTGCCACCAACCCTTCCTGACAGGGACTGCTATTCTGAATGGAAATGTTTGCACACTGGTACAGGACTCGGATTCTTGAATTTACCTAGCAATAAGTCGTTTCCATAATGAAGTTTCGTGTGTGTGTGTGTGTGTATGTATGTATATATATATACATATACATATATATATATATACACACACATACACACACACACACACA